GAATAAAAAGGAATAAATATAATTAGTGTTTGGAAGGGCGAGAACATCTGAATAAAAATGTTCATCTTTTATTAATCACATACATTTTGCATAAGGAGATTATTTTTCCCCATTTGGGCTAACAACATGGAATTATAGTACACAATTGTGGGAACAGTTGGCCTGTGACAATTTAATGGTATTTTGCAAAACCCTCATTCTGCAGGCTGCATGTATCTGCCAGCTTTCTCCAGTTGTGTTCTTCATAACAAATCAGTCGTAAGGACCATGGACAGCGACTAGCAGTTCCTATGCGACTGTTAAGTATTTACAAGCTCTTATATAAGAGCCACCACTAATAAGGTGCCACATACTCAAGCCCAAGTGTTTCAGAGGGTCTTGGGGTGAAATGAACCCCTCCACCATGGGGAGGAGGACAGAAACACGTCCTAGAAATTTCACGTAATCAGTGGCGTGGCATTGATCCGACCCAGGGGGCGAGTTTTCATTAAACGTTCTTCTGCCCTTGAGTTTATGTTTGTGAGAGAGAGTACATTCGGTGTATCGGTTGCTTAAGCACAACTTATGAATAATATATTGGAACAAATCTCACATCATTTTTCTCTGTTACTAAAAGCTTACATTAATATCCATGTTAACATAAAGGCTTAACGTGAAGCATTGTGATGATTTTCATTATGGGAAAATGCAGTGACAGATTCTAGGTTCCCACGGGTGTGTGCTGTTTTCTCTGTTTCTCAACCTTGTCTTCACCTCCATGCCTGCTTTCTTCCACATTTTCCACTTCTTTTCCTGTTACTTTCGTAAATTCTTCATCTCCCTTCTTTTCCACTCAGTAAGGTGATATGATCCTTGGGGTTTTGATAGTTCATGAAAAATTATCATACATGGAAAAGAAAATCCTTCCAAGCATGAATTCTGCCCACTGGCTTAAGCCCATGTCTCTACAGTTGTATGTTTAAGTAACTATTCCGGCACTGAATTCCCTGTATAGCTCCGTGCCTGCCTGTGCTGTCTGCACGTTCGTGCTATGGTATGATGGATGGTGTAGCTCTTTGGGGGTCACACGACATCTTTCCCATTCCAGGTAACATCAACCGCCCCCCCATTGAGAAAAGAAAACACAGTTATGCTGTACGATTTGCAAAATTACAAAGCTTTGACATCGGCATGTTTATCGGTTCTTAGACTCTGATTTCTGAGTAACTTAGAGGGGAATCTTAAAGCATTTTAGATCACATGAAGCTGCTTATAGTGTGGATGAGACAAGGGTGTGTACGGAGATCTGTAGCTTTGCCATACCCTGTCATTTTGACAGTGGGTAAGCATAAATCCCCTTTGATCCCATCTGTGAAGTGAGAATGACACCCACCTCCTGGTAATACTAGGAGGATCACATGAATCCAAAGACACTAAGTAGTTAGAAGAGTGTCCAGTGCACAAGCCTTCCAGCTGGCTGCTGTTGCACTGGCGATACGGTTATGACAGTCCCTCTGCCCTGCAGAGCTGAGGCCATGGTTAAAAGTGAAGGTGCCCAGTGTCTGGTACATAGTAAGGGACCAAATATTAGGGCTCATTCCTAGTGCTATCGACATGACTATTCCATGTCTAAGTACATGGAGATTAAGGGGACCCTCGACCCTGGTGGAATCAGTTTCAGGTTGTGAAAAAGCTGCAAGCAATTCTGTGCTCCACAAGGCCAACATCAGGAGGGAAAAGGGTGCTTTCCACCAGGAACCCTGTTTGACCCATAAGAGCCCTGGCTCATCCAAAGCTTAAGCTATCTCATAAGGTGAAGAAGAAAGGATGGGGCGTTTTTACAGCTTGGGATGCCCTCTGCAATTCTATGAAGTGCATATTAGCAGCTATTACTAGTATATCGCTGTCAGGAAATTGGCTCTGTGGGGATTTAAGAAAAATCTCTAGGAAGCAGCCTCGAGATAAGTGGCAGGTGAAGAGAGGGTAAGCCTCTGGTCCTGGCCAGAGACGAGGAAATAGTGAGCACCCTTTTGCTTCTTCCTGCTGTTCTCCCAGCCCTTGCAGTAATGCAGGCTCAAGCGATTTGCCTGAGAGTGATAATAGGACCATTTTAACTCAAAGAAGGTGGCAGGACCCAGACTAGGACAAGGCAGACAAGTCGCCCAGGGTGCAGGATTTAAAGAGATGCTCGTTCTTTGCAAGTGCCTCACCCTCAGCCCCAGCCCTGGTCTGGATGATGTAAAATTCCAGAAAATAAGTGTGATGTCATTCCTGATGTTGTGTCAGCTAAGCATGCTTAAACTGTATCCTCCTTCAAAAAAAAAATCTGTCTATAATCAATTATCTGTGAATTAATTGTTGACTCCTTTAGCTTAGTTAGTTTGCAGCTGAAAGGCCTCCGGATCGCTAGAGATAAGTTGATGATCGACACCGGGACTTCTAGGGCTTTCCGGCAGAGTAAGGGGCTGAAATAACAAGGGTCTCCTTGAACTAAGGACAAGCTGTTGCTAGCTTTTATCCTCTTCCCTACCCAAGACAATGGTATTTGCTAATACCATGAAGAAAGTAGCTAAATATTCTTGAATCTCATACATCCTGGGCGTTCGGCGGAATATTTACCTAAGTTATCACTGAGTCTTCACCTCTGTGAGGCAAATCCTTACTTTACTGATATTTTAGAGATGAAAAAAATTGAAGTTCAAAGAGGCTGAGAAATTTACGCAGGATTATGTATTTCAGCGGTGGCATAGACAGTCAGGATTGGAACCCAAGTTTACTTCCTGAATCTCCATGTATTGTTATCTAATACCTGGCTTGGCAGAAACCAAATGCCGGATGGTTTTCAATGGAGACACTTGTTTCCATGCTGGGTCCTGCTGCAGACCCACTGGGTTATATCCACCAGAACCAGAGTGGCCTGCAGCTCTATGGCCTGGGAGTGACTATGGATAGCTAAGTCATCAGTTCTGTTAAACACGATCGTTACAGCGTGTGGGGTCTCTAAAGGTTGAGGAGGAAAAGAGCAAATCTATTTCTTCTCTACTTTCATATAAGAAACTCCAGAAGAGAACAGCCCTGGTCCCTTGTGTCCACTCATGTATCTCTGTCACCTGGAACAGGGCATGTCACATAGCAGGTGCTCAATAAATATACTGAATTATTAAATAAATGAAAGAGGCACTTTCGGTTGTATTAATGCTACCATTCGTATCACCATTCATTTGTAACCCCATTGTTCCCCCAGGAGACACCTAGGATAGGTTAGGAACATCTTTAGCTGCAAACAATAGATCACTTAAGTAACAGTGGCCCAGACCAATGGGGTTTGTGTTTCTCACATAACAAGAAAAATAGAGGTGGGTGTTTTCCATAATTGGTTTAGTGGCTCAACAATGTCAGGGCCTCGCTTTGCACAATTCAATTGGCCTCTTCCTTTTAGTCCTAAAATGATGGCTTCAGCCCCAGCAATCATGTGCGCATTCAAGGCAGGAAGGAAGTGGAAGAGAAGGAGCCAGCCACAGCTGCAGCGTCTCTGATTCATAAACACACAAAAGCTTTTTTCAAAAGCTGCCGAATTTCCCCCAGCAGTTTCAGTTTATGTCTCACGGGGCACTCCTAGTGTTAGAGGCATCTGGGAATGCAATATGATCTCCTAACCTGCAAATCAGAGTTAGGGGGTGAGGGGAGGGCTTTACCGGGGGTGTCCGCCAAAAGCGTTTTTGTCCATTTAATATAATGGTTCTGCTTCACTGTGACATGTCAGAAAGAGACTTAGATTGGTCGTAAGAAATCCTGGGATCCCTTTCTGTGACACTGGGCGAACCAAGTTGACTGGCCTCGGTTTGCCTATCTGCAAAAACGACGTGTTCAAAGTCTACAATGATTTTATTCGTGGTGGTCGTGACCCGCTGCGGGGCTTGTGGAACCTGTCTGCATGCAAGCGACTGTCTAGATGCCAGCTCAGAGCTGGCCAGACTGACGCCTTCTGGATGCTGTCAGATTTGGATGGATTAAGGCTCCAAAATGGTTGTTTGGAAATTAATGAAGGCTTATGAAAACAGGCTGCCTTATTACCCCAGAGCATGAGTGAAAAGGTTGCCATGCTCTGGGGAGAGAAAGGGGAACGACTGTCACTGGCTTCTCCAAAGTCCATGAGGCCACGCCAGCTTCTCCTGGAGAACCACCCCCTACTTCCAAGGGGTGGTTGGGAGGTAAAGAAGTAGCTGACAGGCCGGGCGCGGTGGCTCACACCTGTAATCCTAGCACTCAGGATCGCTCGAGGTCAGGAGTTCGAAACCAGCCTGAGCAAGAGCGATATCCTGTCTCTACTAAAAATAGAAAGAAATTAATTGGCCAACTAAAAATACATAGAAAAAAATTAGCCGGGCATGGTGGTGCATGCCTGTAGTCCCAGCTACTCGGGAGGCTGAGGCAGGAGGATACCTTGAGCTCAGGAGTCTGAGGTTGCTGTGAGCTAGGCTGACGCCACAGCACTCATTCTAGCCTGGGCAACAGAGTGAGACTCTGTCTCAAACAAACAAACAAACAAACAAACAGAAGTAGCTGATGAAAGTCAGCAGAAGCCTAGATAATGAGACACCTTAAGAGACAGATGAGGAGGTAGAACATCCAGTGGAATATAATAGGGTGACCCTTCATGCAAACCCACCTAATAAACAATCCAATTGCCCCTACTTTTATCCCAGATATGGGGTGTTGCAAGGACTGGGATATTGAGTCTCTTTACTGTGAAAATTATTTTTTGAGAGCTTAGAATGTATTTACTGGAACAGAAATATAAACCTAAGACCCAAAAGACAACTGTGACAATGCTTAATATTCGAAATGTAATTATTCTTAATGCATCTACTTAATTTATATTCACGATTTATGAGGTGTTCCATATTTATCAGCTGTAACTTTGTCCCATGTGTTGAACCAAGCAGGAACGGTTTGGCTTTGAGCTCAAAGTGATTTTCGCTGAATGTTTTTGTGGATAAAAGCTTATCTGCCTTGCTCAGGGTAAACTGGAGATCTGGCGATGCCCGGATTTGCCACAGGGCAGACACTCAGGAAGCCTTGCCCACTGTTGACTGAAGGAGCAAATAAATGGGCGCAGTGGTTCTGCAGCAGGAAGCTTCCTGAAGGTCAAGACGTGGGACCCTTCGCTAACATCATAAAAGGCAAGATTCCTGCTGGCTGAGCGCAGCTCTCCGTTTCTCAAACCCACAGTCCAGAAGCCAAGTTCTGAAGACAGTAGAATCGGCTCGTTGAGTGACAGATTCTTTGCAAACGCCGGCGTCCCATTCTCTGCTTGTCCCCACGCCCGCCTCCCAGGAGTGGCGTCCAGAGGTGGACCGAGGGGAGCCCAGCGTGTGTGTTTGCAGCTCTCAGCACACTCCCTGCGATTCTGAGACACCCACAGTGGACGCTCCGCAGGTCGTCAGGTGCGATGATTACACGGCGGGGGCTTCATGAATGCCGCTCAGCACACCGCCTCTGCCCGGGATCCCAGGCCCTGGCCAAGCCGGGGTTCCTGGCCCCGCAGTCAGGTCCTGGGTCCTGCACACACCCAGGTTCTCGTATTAATGACGTGTGTGTTTTCTCTCATCTTCCCTCTCCCTCCTCTCTTCTCTATTTAGGCATGAAGTTCAATGAGTTCTAGTGATGTCCCGATTCCCTGAACTCAATGCCTGCTGCCCAGCCTGAATCTAGGCTCAATTACTCATCACTTCTGGTGTATTACAACGATAGCCTCACAGCAGGTCCCCTTCCAGTGGGTCTCCCTGCCACACCCGGAAGGCGCTGTCCAAACCGGAATCTGTGCTACTGCCCTGCATCTTCTGATGCCTTCTGTGGTCCTCAACATCAAACCCAAACTTGTTCATGTGAATCTTCACGATCTCTCCCTGCTATATGTCCAGAGTCCACTAGTCTAAAGCCATGCTCCCTTCTTTCTCTGGGCTCAGAGCCTGGGCACCCACTTTCCCTCTGAGCCCCCTCCCCCTCCACTTCCTACCCAGTCTCATCTGAGAAGGCAAGTGTTATTTTGTCTATGAAATTTGCATTGTGCTCCTCTGGCCTCCAAAATGGATGAGGGAGAGATTGGAAGGCTTTTGGTGTTTTGCTGCAAGCAGAGAGTATTTGTAAATTATGCTGATTTATCATTTAGTTCACTTTCCCTGATGAAATTCAGATCCACGTAGATAAGTCTACTAAAGACCAAATAGATTAGTGGAAATCACACTTTGCTGTTGACCCTAAAAAATGCAGAAGTCCTGGATTAAAATTACGAATGAATGTACTTTATTAGGAAAGGAATGTAAATATATTTCATTATCCTGGAGCAAAACTAAACAGGCTTTCTCTATTCTTTTGTAGGAAAAAAAACCCATTAGCTTGCTTTTTTTAGTGGGGAGAGAGGGGAGATAACTATTATAGAGAACACTGATCAGCATTAGAATAAAATATCCTAATCTTCTGAGATTCCTCTTTAGGAGAAGGGACATTTCCATTAGCAAAAGAAATGCATACATATCAGGTTATCTTAAAGAGATTCATACACAACTGTTGGAATCTACTTCGGCTCAGGGTGAACAGTACCGTGAATAGCAAACATGATATATGCAAATAACTTCCCATTATAAACATAGATTATTTTCTCTTTCCATAAACTGTAACAATCACAATAAACGTGATTAACTGTGTTGAGAAGACAGAGAGGGCAATTGGGAAGCTGAGGGAGAGCGTTTATGTTTGGCTTCATCAAATTATGCACCTTTTTTTATCTTCTAAGTTAATGGTATTGTACTTATAAGCTTTGCATATTTTATTTTATTTCCCTGGACAGCACACTTTTCCTAGTGCTAAACCAGCCTCCTAAGGCCTAGCAGGTAATCCTGCTACTTGGTTGTCATCCTCAAGTGCATTGGCGCAGATGGGATTTCTGGTCTGAAATAATGAAGTTCCTGGAATTCCTTCTCCTGCAGGCATCGACCCTCACTGTCCTTCTCAGAGTGGACGGTCTCTGACTCAGTTGCCTTCCAGGCCACTCCTCTTGGCTTTATTTATGCAGAGAATGACCAGGGCAACATCATCGTAGTTTCAGTCTGTGTTCAAGGGCCCTAGTTTGAGCAAAGCTGCAGGAAAGCCTTAGTGCCATGCCCCTTAGACTGTTCACGCTGCACCAACACTGTCACGAACTCCAGCACGAAGGTGGACACTAAATGGGGGTGGGTTAATGGGTTTAAAGTGCCATACAGATGTGATCCAGATTATGTCCCGAAAAGTAATTTATCCTGCACTTTTTCTAAGGAAGGTGCCAAAGTGATGAAAAAAAAACCAAGAAAAAGTAAAATGTGGGGTACAGGTAAAAGGGGTGCAGCAGAGGAGCCAGTGTAGATGTGAAATACAGGTGAGAGGATCTAGCAGAGGAGCAAGTATGGGTGTGGGGTACAGGTGAGGGGATGCAGCAGAGCAGCAGGTGTGGACATGGGGTACAGGTGAGGAGAATCCAGCAGAGGAGCAGGTGAAGGCATGGGGTACAGGTGAGGGGGATATAGTGGAGGAGCAGGTGCAGACATGGGGTGCAGGTGAGGGGGATATAGTAGAGGAGCAGGTGCAGACGTGGGGTGCAGGTGAGGGGGATGTAGTAGAGGAGCAGGTGCAGATGTGGGGTGCAGGTGAGGGGGATATAGCAGAGGAGCAGGTGCAGACGTGGGGTGCAGGTGAGGGGGATATAGTAGAGGAGCAGGTGCAGACGTGGGGTACAGGTGAGGTGCAGGGATCCCCAGAGTAACTGTGTGGGGAGAGGCCAGGTGCAGCTGCGGATAGGCACAGAGGACACCCAGGCCAGCAGAGCAAGAGGCTGTTGTCCAGAAGGTGATGGTTATACCAGATGTGGTCACTTTCCTCTTCTGTAAAATGGATATAATTTAACACCTCCTAGGTTACTGTGAGGAGTAAATATGTTGCATATAATTGTTGGTCTTGCCCATTCCCTCCATTTTTCCTAAGAAAGATTTCCACACTACATGTATAGTATCCAATAATGGGCTCTTATCCAGTAGCAAAGTAATAGGAAATTCCTTTTCCACCAGAAGTGTAAGCTAATGAATAAGACACAATTTTTTCAATTGTTTTATTTTAGTAAAGACAGCATACATATACAACTATAGCTCAAATCCGCATGCTTAAACAAAATAACTTCTCTTGTCTGCAGTCGTTGGCTTAAATGTTAACATCTGTATGATAGAAAGCATGGCATCGGGGAGGGAGAATTAGGAAGGCAGGTGGTCCTCTGTCTCTTTATTAAAAGGCCGTGGCAGAAACATATATTATCCAGTTTCAAAAGGAGCCTCAGAAAATATCTTTCCTGTAGCGTCAGACGATTTAAAATTGATCTCCTATAGCTTGTCCCACTTTTGTATTCTTAGCCACAGATAAAGTAGCTGCTCTCAATTGTAAGGCAAACCGCTTTGAGGACTCGGAGTTCAGTCACGTTGCTATTCTCGGGGTTTACTCCTGGTGTTATCATATCATTCCCTTGTAATCCCATTACAGAGGAAAGAGATGCACCCCCAACTTTCACTTAAGCTCCAGATCTCCACTGTTCAAGTGATCAGACATATTTCTGTAAACGAATATACTTGCCACGCCGGATGTGAATGCACACATACATGTATTTCTGTGTGCGTGTTTAAGTATATTGCACAAAAGACATCACAGGTTTTTAAAGACTGTTGTTGTTTTTTTTTTTAATAGCAGTTTTAGGTTTGCAGCAAAGTTGAGAGGAAGGTACAGAGATTTCCCATATACTCACTACCCTGCCACATGCATAGCTCCCTTCCTCATCAGCATCCCCTGCCTGAGTGACACATTTGTTACACTCGTTGAACTTACATTGACACATCCTTATAACCCAGAGTCCATAGTTTACATTAGGGTTCACTCTTGGTGTTGTACACTCTGTGGGTTTGGGCAAATGTATAATGACATGTATCCATCATTACAGCACACTGCCAACCACTGATCTTTTTACTTTCTCCATAATTCTGTCTTTTCCAGAATGTCATGTAATTGGGATCATAGGGTATGTAGCCTTTTCAGGTTGGCTTCTTTGGCTTGGCAATATGAATTTAAGCTCCCTCTATGTCTTTTCATGGCTTGATAGCACATTTCTTTTTAGCACTGAATCACATTTCATTATCTGGATATACCAGGGCTTACTGAGGCATCACAATTTTGAGATAGAAAAAATTGGGAGCCAGGGTGGGAGGGAGGACTGAACAAATTGCCCCCACACTTCATATCTGATAAATATGATATTTATTTGCAGTAAAATTTCCCTGAAAACTTCAAGTAGGTATGTGTCAGGCACAGGAAGTCAGAGATTAGCTAAAAAATACCTTCTGCCCTCCAGTTTCTTATACTTCCTAAGAGAAGGAGAGAGCAGGTGTAGTCATAGCCGCTGTCCAAGGTAGGTACAGCCGCTGTCCAAGGTCAGCACAGCCACTGTCCAAGGTAGGTACAGCCGCTGTCCAAGGTCAGCACAGCCACTGTCCAAGGTCGGCACAGCCGCTGTCCAAGGTCAGCACAGCCACTGTCCAAGGTAGGTACAGCCGCTGTCCAAGGTCAGCACAGCCGCTGTCCAAGGTCGGCACAGGTAAGGAGAATGATGCTATGTAGACCCAATGCTGCAGATCCTTGGGGTGGGGACCTTAGGTTTCCCACAGATTGTGAGATTGATCTGGGTGTTTGTGGAAGGCAAAGTTGGAGTTGGACCACGAAGGATGTTTGTGTCAAGACAGAAGCAAAGCCATTCCTGGTAACAGACACACAACAAACAAAAACACTGCCTTGGAGAGAGGACATATGCTTCACCTAGAGTATTTAAAATCAGGAAGTGAAAATGTGTTTGAATAACATGCAATCCTTCAGAATCAGGGGAAAGAGAGCATATTTTTCTGAATTGACCCCAGAGATCAAAGAAAATTGAATTCAGAGTGAATGCAAAGTGAGGGCTCAGTCTTCTGTCTAAGCTTGTGTTTCACCCATAACTCTCACTTATTCGGGATTTGGGAAACTATTTGTGAAGACGATCTCTCAAAAAGTCAACCGTTTGTGTTAAAGTGTTAGTGAGCAACCTGAGAACTCTTACAGAACATTAGAAACAGCACGGCTTGGTCAAAATCAGCGTTGAGAAGATGCTACAAGAACCAGAGTGAAAGGGCACAGTGACATACATTTAGGTGAAAAGCATCTCTCCACAAAATATCACAACATATTTTGCAACAATACATGATTTTTTTTTTCTTGA